GCTACATGTAGCTTACCATCACCAGTGTGTGAATGGGTGGATGACTGGATGTGTAAAGCGCTTTGGGATCCTTAGGGACTAGTAAAGCACTATACAAATGCAGGCCATTTACCATATAAATAGCATCATTCCGGCTTTTGATCAACATCATATTCAGCCACAGCCTGATATGGAAAAAAAACAGAAGCCTATTAACCACACATACTCACAGACTGACTGGATGTGTCAGTAAAGCGCTATACAAATACAGGCCATTTACCATTTCACTTTTTGGTCAGTCTGTGGAAGTCATTAATAGCTTTAAGTGTCCACAGTATCTATTGATGACAAGATTAATATTATGGTTAATGTTGACCCCATTTACAAGAAACTTAATCATTGTTTCTTATTGGGAGGTTAAGAAACTTTGGTTTTAACCACAACGTTTACGTCACCTTGATTGAAAGCATCATTATGTTCAATATTTCAATAACCTGACTGTGGCAATTTAAGAACAAACTACACATAATTTTCAGAACCAAATTATTGATTGACAACAAATTAAACTGGATAAACTGTGTCATCAGTCTGTTTAAAGCCCGGTCTATTATTGCTGACCGTGACCCCCCCCCTCTCTATTCTGATTTCAAATTAATGCCTTTTAAAACGACATTATGGGACACCTCCAGGTAGCAAAGAGGTGTATAAGGGATGATTTGCACCAAGAGCAATCGATACTCTGAATAATGAGATGCTGTGATGTGTTTTTATCGTTGTATTGAAGTGTTGTATATGTATATGTATCAATGTGGGTTCATTTGAAGCAACTTGATTGGTTGATTTATGACTTGGTGAAACAAAGGCAATTTTCCATTGATTTGGTTAATAAAGCTATTCTATTCTATTTAATCATATAGACTGGGCTCTCGGGCACAGACACCTTTGCTAGAATGTCAGCGATGTAGTAGCTCATCCACCTCATGATCCATCATAATACAGAGGTTATTGTATTGTGTGAGGTGCAGAAAGAAAGTTTTGTTGTCACTGGCTGGCTTTATTGCAGAAACTCATAAGAATTGAAATCCACTGAGAAGTCAAGCAGACTTATAAACATGTGGCTCCAGGACAAATTAATGTCATTTCACTAAAACTGGACCTCCAGGAGAAGCAGTAATTCTTGTGAAAATGGAAAAATGTCCATAAAACAGCAACTGTAACCTTGACATTGACAATGAGAACAGTTTCAGTGAAGAACCATCAGGTGATCACTGTTTCACTAAAATCTGACCAATAGTTCAATTCAGTTTAATTCAATTCAATCCAATTCAGTTTATTTATGTCATGCCAAATCACAATAGTTGCCTCAAGGTGCCTTTTATTGTAAGGTAAAGACCC